TGAAGGTAAACGCAATATTTGGAACATTATACTGCCCCCGTCCCCAATCTCTCAGGTTCTCTTATTCAACATTAGATTTAGTAAGCCATTGAAGATGTAAAAAAAAAGGGCAAAGACGGCCTTTAAAGTACATGTATGTCTTTCCATGATGTTTTCAAAGTATATTTATTTACAATCTTTGTTTACTCTAAATTAATTGCATTTCTTGTTAATATCACATATCTTGAACTTCCACTGGTACAGATCTTACAAATGGCAGTAATCTAATTTTAGCTAAATATTTCTTTTTTTAAACTTGGATATGTCATCAGTTTTATTGTTCTTTTGTGATTAAAGGACGAAAAGATTATCAAGATTAAACCACAACTATACATACAAGTGGATTACAATCGAATTAATTCCACTTTGATGGGAATATAAAGAAATGTTTCTATAAATAAATGTTAAAAACTTTAAGCACAAAAAAATGCAACCTGATACAAATATTCTACTGAAGTAGCCCAATAACAAATTATCTTTTATGAAAACATGAATTATACGACATGCAAGTCGAAACTTATTAATCAAGGCGGGCATTGGAATGTATTGCTTACCTTAGAAGTTACATTATATTGAATCTTATGTCACAATCATTAGATACAAAATGTTAAGAAAGTACGAAAATACTTGCAATGTGGATAAAACATGGCCTCTTTCTTCTTTGCAAAGTCATTTTGTGTCTTTTTTCTTCATTATAAACTTTTATTCAACATTTAATGTGTTTTGCTGTTTACTTTTTCTTTATTATTTTTTGTTCTACATGTATTTGTACAATTTCTTTATGAAATTAAAAAAAAACAAATTGATGAATCCTTGTTGTCTTATAATTATTTATCAATGCACAATGTCACGTACTTACAAGTTATCACTATTTTCTAACATACATATAGCAAACAAATCATAATGGTATACGTTCGACACTTCTGTTCAGGAAAAATGTTGAACTTCTGAAGGCGCTCAGTACAAGTAGGTCCATCTTTCATTGGTTGCTTCGAAGTTTGCTTTCTTCAGGAAATAAATGATAAATTAATCGATATCAGCCTCAATGACCTAAAAAAAGGCAAAAATATTTATACAAAAATACTTTAAGTTCACTTGTTTTGATTAATAATTAGTTCTCGTTAATTTCTTTCAAGGTTTTTGTATTAACAATATTTTTTTGTTAACTTTTAGTTTAAAAGACATAGAAAACAACTACAAAACAGGTTTTCCACAAACTGAGAAAAAAAAAGTTGGAAAGCTATTGAAACAGTTAACTGATGGAGACAAAAAGTGAAATGTATATAAAATATTGTCATTTTGTTAAGATTTTATCGTTTTATATTTTTTATTTAAAAAACTTGTATACATGTACATAGAAACATCATATTGATTTTAATAGATAAGAAATTAAGATGTGTATTCAGAAAATTTCATTGGTTTCTAGTAGTTTTGTTTTAAGCAATGTATTCTGTTGATTTTTCAGCTTAAAAGACCTAGAAAAATAGGGAGAAGGAAGCAAAAATATGTATTTCCATGATTCAGAACAAAACATAGTGAAAAGTACATTATTAATTATTATGCATGGATTTTGCAAAAAAGTCCATTTTTAAGGGTTTTTAATATTGGAATTATTAAGTTCTAATTTATAAAAATCGTATTTCATGTTCCAAATCTTGAATTACTAGATACACTTAGTAGTTAATGTAAGCACATAAATTAGCATATAGCCACTGCAAGGACATGCATGTTTTGATACACGTGCAGAAAAAAGTGCTATCTTGATCGTACATGCACTTTTATGAACAAGGTCAAAAGAAAAAAAATCATGATTCACACTTAATTTATACAATAGGAGGGTCGCGGAGAGTATAATAAGAAAATCCAAAGAGATGTCATGAATAATGCTTGTGTACTTCTTGGTCAGCTGTATAGATCTATATCTATATAACAGGTTTATGACAAATGCAAAAATACAAAAGGTGTTTGGGTGTTTATTTACATTTCCATTCAACCGCGAATTTTGGCCTATGACTGGTCAGGGGGACTAGGCTAAATACACCTCGTAGAAGACCGATGACAAAACATGCGTTGTCCATGATTAACGCGTTCATCACTTATTAATGAGCAGTGACAATTGAATTCATCGATGACGAACATTTTTTGTCTGTCAACTAGCTAAGTTGTCTTTTTTTTTATCCTTCTCTTGCCATTTTTCGTACTTTGGTGTAAAAAGGCTTATGATTAACACATACTTATCTACAGTGTATATATCACATTTGACATTTTTGGAATTGGAATTGTACTGATGTGGAAAATAATCTAAAGATAATTTCTTTACCACTTTTGTGAAATTGTAGATAATACATGTAGTATTTGAAAAATATGTAGAAAAGGAAAAGGGGGGGGCGTGGTGGCGATTTCAAGTTAAAAAATAGTTGTGGTTTCTGTGCATATTACATGTCTAATGCGGTCGATGTCATTTCCTGAGGTGTACAAATCTTTTTTAAAATTATGAACAAATAGAATGATGTTAACATGTATAATCATGTTCATGTACATTGTGTATTTCTAGTTTCCACATTTTACGTTAAATATAAATTTTAATTAAATACTTATTCGGTATGTTCGCCGATTAATGTCAAAACAGTATACTACATTGAATTTCGTACATGTAGAAAGAGATTGACACAGAAAGAATGATATTCTGGATGCAAGGGAAAAAAGCAACATATTAGAAATTTAGAATGTAGATTCCCTTTGTGTATAATGGGGTTATCAATATTTATTAGTACATAAAGAATATATTATATTATCTAAATTGAATTATAAGAAAAAACCTCATTACTGTATTAGTGAACACCTACATGTATATATTTAATTTATTCAGACCTTTTTTTAATGTCTCGTTTTTTTTAAATTTAATGTCAGGAAAAAACCCAATGATGAACATGTATATGCATATTCATTTTATTATAAAACAAAGGTTCTTTGAAATTTGTCAATAAATAAATAATAAAACAGGAAATGCAGGAAGCTTCCTCTTAGATCACACAAAAGTAGGTCTCATTCTTCCACAGGAAAAACAAGTGGGGTTTAATAATGTAAATAGTGGTAAAATGTAAATAAAGACCAAGTAATGTTATTACATATATACACGATATATCACACATTGTCATTATGACATCACAATATGCAGTTTTACTCCAAAATAATGCATCAATTATTGTGGTGATCAAGCGGCAAAGCAAAGTATGATGTCATTACGACTAAATTATTCCGTCTTGTTTTGTCTATAGAAAATCCGAAAATGATGAGGTAATTTTTTGACAGGTGTGTGATGGAAAAGTTGCTAATTTTGGCACAATTTGCAAAAATTAATTCTGTTTGACATTTCGTGGCCTCGGGATGCGTTACATGCAGATGGAAACCTCTGAGATTAACGTGCAGGCGCATACAGATATCGTCAGAAAGGTGCAAAAACTGGCTTGTTTGATGTGTAAATTTTCCGGTTCACGTGATTAAATGAAGATTATGACAGAAGTAATGATCTAATTCCTTTGTTCGCCTCGAGAAAAAATTAAAATTATGATCTTTAATAAATACACGTGAGAACTGAATTCTAATAAAGTTTCTTTCATTGTGACACAAGATTTTTAATTAAATTTTAATAAGCATTTAAAAAATACTATCCGTTAACTTTGTATATTTGCAATTGAACAAATATTTTTTTCTCAAGTTTAGATTTGCTAAAGTAAAATAATGTGACAAACAATAAGAAAAATTAATAAATTCTTTTCAATACACATAATTGAACATTAAATCATTACTAATAAGATTTCGATGAGTATATTAAAATCTGTCATTTTGAAACGTCTATATATGTAGATTACACACGCTTCATAAAAGACATGCATGACCTAAAAAAACTGATTAAGGTTCATTAATTACTCACTTTCTATAAATGTCCATCAAATTAAAATTGCTATGTATATTAGTAAGTAATTTAAATCATCATTAAATAAAACGAAGCATGTGTCAGTTCTAATTTGAAATCGACATGTATCATCCGAAGCCATATTTCTTAATTATTCATCAATGATCCTCAAGAAATGTGTATCAATGTGTAAAACGTTAATCTTAGAAACGTGACTATCATCGGATAAATATAAATATTATTAACTTTATTTGAAGGAATCATCGGCCAGCTTCATCCAATCAATTATTAGTGTCTTGATAATGAAATAAAGAATGTAAAGTCACTTGGAAACGAGAGAAGGTTCATCGATTTTGAAATGCAAATTTTGGACGGTGTGTGTTTAATCCACGCACGGTCACTGAATCACAGTTAACTCATCCCTTCACAATCATACGATTTTCCGAAAACTATAAATCAAAAATATTATACAATAGACAATTTTTGATAAGAATTATGAAAAGATTTTACATAACTAAAGCCGACTTTTCGTTTGAACTAATTATTATTTCAAATTTTTAGTTTTGCTCAAATTAAATTAAATTAATTTTTTTAAGGTGGAAGGGGTAAATGCATAAAGGAAGGTTGGGGTAAAGGTGGTCCCGGTGCAAGGGGTTAATTCTTCTTCAATACAAGTATGAACTGGCTAGTTTATCTCTCTATCTAGTGTTCTATTTTACTACTTATTTTTAACGCGAGATACTTATGAGGTCACTGTGTCATTATTTGCTATTGAAGACAGAAACTATTTATTGAAAAAATAAAAAAAACACATAATTTCTAAGGCATCGATGACGTGGTGAAGAAATGTAAATAATATTTAAGATTAAATGTTTAAATATCCTCACTTTATCTTGAATTGATGTGTGAAAAATTAGGTTCCTGGCTGTATAAGTATACAGAAATTCTAGGTTAGAAGAGAAACGCCCGATGAGTTCCGAATGCGCTTTATGAATCACCTTGCTCATGTGACGTAGCCAAGTATAAATACTCCGCTGTGTTTACATCGCGAGAATCATTACACGCGTACATGCGATAAGCGAAACATCACTTGTTAGAGTGGAAAATTACTGTTTACATACAGCAACCTGTTGTATATGAATTCTGCCTTAATGGGTCTTAGATCTAATTAAGGAGGAATATTTAATTCTTTAAACCTGTGGATCTAGTTTATACCACATTTTATTCTTTTGGTAAAGGGACTTCAATGATTCTGGAATTCCCACCGGTGATGCCAGAATCGGGCGGTGAGTTAGATTTGTTGCCCCCCTCCACCTTAACCTCGGAGATCCTGCCGTGCCGGAGACGGTTAGGTCTCACGCTGGATTTCGGCACGGATGATTATAACTGTGTTCCGAAAAGGTGTAAACTGGAATCCATGAATTTTACCCTTAGTGCTTTGAACAAACTCAATTCCACTACGAACAATGTGAGCGCTGTCTTTTCAGCGAGGACTATGCAAGCTCAGGAATTGGCCTCCAAGATGAGTAAGTCTCGGACAGTGTTAGTCTTGGACTGTCGACCATTCGTGTCTTATAATATTGCTCATATCCAAGGTGCTATTAATGTGAGTTGTTCCGATAGGTTTAATCGGAGGAGACTCCAACAGGGAAAGGCCAGTATCATTGACCTTGTTTCCTCCAAGGAGGGCAAAGACATGTTTAAGAAAAGGTGTTCTAAGGAGATTGTGATTTACGATGACCATACGAAGGACGTCCAGTCGCTCAGCCCGGATTCCTCAATGTATCTTGTGCTATCTTCCTTATTACGAGAGGGCAAGGATGTTTATATTCTGAAAGGTTGGTTGACTTTTATTGCCTAACTACATGTATGTGACAACCTTAACTTACTTTAGAATGTGTCTTAATTTTAGTTTTTAAATTGAAAGAAAAAATTGCTACTTAAGCATGTTAAGAAAAAAATAGTTTTTGACATCGTCATTTATGAGAAATATTTCCCTATTTCTAAACCTCTTAAGGAAATTTGATAAGGGTTTTTTACTTGTGGAAGTGAATCATAAGAAAACTTATTAAAAATGGAGACATGGTTATTATAATAACTTACAAGGGAGAAACATGAGTAATATATCAACTAACAAACTCACATCCGAAAGTTTTTAACAAAATGGCGTTGAAAACTTCCTTCTCTTTTTACCATGGACATATTTAGTAAAAGAGGGGAGGGGGTGAGGTGGGGTGGGGTGGGGGAATACTTCGTTTCCACCTGTATATTGTCTTTAACATACAAGATACATGTATTTTACAATAAAACCGTGTCGTGTGAACATAGCGCTAGGGGACGTGAACGCGATAAAAACTGGTGGACTACTAGTGACTCACTAGTTCTTAGCCACCATTGTTTCTTTAGTCATCCACGCGGCTTAGCCTTGACAAAAGGGGGCTCCATGTGAAATTTAAAAACTTCAAACAAAGATAGGAATGCGAGCTGGTATGAAAGCCGTGATTAAATGACTCAAAACCCAGTCATTTGTAAACGACCAACGCAAAGATTATCTGTTTATCTATATATTTGAAGAAAAAAAACTTTAAAACAATTTTGAAATAGTCCAGTCATGTGAATAATTATGGAGGGAAAAAAACCATATGAAATTTAAAGAAAAAAAAGAGATATACATATGGTTATTGTATATTGTTGAGCAATGGTTTTGTTATCAAATTGGTTAAAGGAAAAATTTGAACACGAAGTCGCACGAGGTCTATAAATCTATATTGGGGATGAGTCACCAATATCATTATTGCTGTGACAACAGTGTTTAATTAATCTTTAGAGAATTAACGATCAAGATAAACTAGCGGTTTAATACCTCGGAGATTATAACCTTACATAACATTACAACATGTTTGACCCATTTCAGATAAGACTTCATTCGGCTATATAGCATTTTCAGCGTCGGCTTAGAACCTCTGGCTATAATCAGAATGGAAAAGATGACTCATGGCAAAGTGTATATACATATGCCTTCTCTTTCTCCCTATATACATAGGTTTTTGGTCGATACGTAGCTCTGTTTGATGTGCACACAATAAAATACTCTCAAGTGTTTGCTCTCAACTCTATAGCTAAAAATAAACATAGTAGTTAAGGGGGGTAAATTGTCATTTGAATAATAAAAAAAAACTCCCTGAAAAATAAGCATAGACGTTTAACACTTTTGTTGGAGAAACGATAACGATTTTATTACGTAAAGATAAACACTGGCAGCTTATGATATAAGCATTAATTTATCTTTCTCTCAAGCATATGGTCTTCAGCTGACCTTCTGTATGTAAAGTGATGACTCATGACGTTAAATAAGCAATGTAATCAAAAAGGCGACGAAACCTTCTAAAATTGATCAAGCATGCAAATGCAGAACCCAAGAAGAATTGACGTAGTTAATGGTTTAACCAACTGTAAAATTTTCCAGTGTTTGAAGGTCAAAGAACGGGAAGATGCGCCGAGAACTGTTATCTTTTCTCAAACACCTTTTTTCCCCACAACCGCAAAAATGTTAGGCGCATAAAAAATTCACACATTCTAATCATGATGATACCGAAACCCCCCATTCATGTCAAAAATAAGACACTCAATCACTTTTACAGGAAAAAAGATTTTTTTATGAAAATTATGAATTATCATCAGATGATATAATAATATAAAAGATATGAGTATTTTCCAAAGTCAAAATAGTAAAGGCCTATATTTTTTTTAATGCAGGAGGAATTGAAGAGTTCAGGAACAAGCACTTGGACCTTTGTGATAGCAGTGTTAAATCTCAGGAAGCCCGCCCCCTATACAGTCCCACCACTCCCATTATTGAGCCCCAAATCGAGACGGCCACCGCCACCCAGATCCTTCCTTTTCTCTACCTCGGTAAGTTACACTTCCGGCAGTTTACACCATTGGATAAAAATTCATCCACATTGTTCAGCATCTTGCGCTTCAATAAAATGTAAATGTCAGTTATGGTAAAAAATTAAAAGTATAGTAAAACAATCATTCTTATACTTCCACGAAGAATAAAATTATTGATTTTTATACACCGAAAAAATAAGTACGCCAAAATTTATTTCTCTTTCTCTTCTTCCTGTTTTTGTGGGTAATAAATAAAAGTCAAATTGATACAGGTAATTTCTTACTTTCCTTTCTTTTAAATTCAGGGAATGAAAGAGATGCAGCTAATTTACAGCGACTGCAGGATTTGAATATCACCTATGTTCTCAATACGACATCTCACATACCCAAATATTTTGAAAATCAGGGAATCCATTATAAAAGAATTCCCGCCTCAGACAGCGGGTGCCAAAATCTAAAGCAGTATTTTGAGGAGGCCGTTGCATTTATTGGTACGTATTTGCATTTTTACATATTTATGTTCAGAAATCGTAACTGAGTAGCTTTAGGATTTTTTAATATTGTATTTAAAAAAAATCTTAGAGGTGTGACATTGAATTTTTTAAATGGATCGAACTGTAAATTATGTTTGAATATGACTCATAGGTGTCGCTCGATCACATGTCCTTTATTTGCCAGAAAATTTTGCCAAAGAGTTTCTTTGTTTTTTTTTATTTGTCCTGAATTCAAAATTAAGAAGGAGGGAAAAAAAATGTTAAACTGATTTAAAAGAACTCAGAAGCACTAATTTGAACTAATTCAAATGTACTTCAATTTCCAAAAAATTAACATACAAAGGAAGAAAAACAAAGTCAGACGTCACATGCTAATGAAGAAAGACTTTGTCAGATTATCACCTGGGCATAGCGTTATTAACGATAGTTCGATACCGTCGGTCTATCGCGCACCTTGATTTCAGATGAGTCACTTTGCAATATGTGCCAGGTTGTCATCCTAATTGGGCTTTATTGAGGCAACAATAAATCGACACACTACAGGGGAGAGGGGAAGCGTTCTCCCCTTTTGCCCGACAGATGGTTTTCAGGTTTTGGGCGGTCGCGTTAAAAGTAGTCCCCGACATCGGGGATCGTGAGTCACCCCCAAACCTCCTAATGTGCTCTCATTTCGTTTCGGAGCCGTTTGTAATAAAGAAAATGTTAATGAATGGTTGAATGGCAAAACACATTAAAAGTGTAGAGAGAGAGAGAGAAAAAGGGAAGTTCATGAACTTTACAAATGGTGAAATGTCTTTTTGCGCGAATTATCTTTGACCTTCGGCAACTTTTTTGTATAAAGCGATCTTAAGAAGTCAACCCTGTGAAACCTGTTGCTTTATAGTTATATGGAACCAATAACAGCTGTAATACCCCGCAGAGAAAAAATATGAGTCATATTCAATATCATATTATGGATAATACTTAATGCAAACACAGTCAATAGCATTTTTTTTTTTTTTACAAACTATCAAAAAAAACCAATCAATGCAATAACACTGCACTAATGGTTAGAGTCTGTAGATAGCGTTTAATTTACAATTTTTTCTTTTATCATTTCCTTTTATATGAGATGGCATTTAAATTTACACTGTCTTCTTTTATCATTTGTTTAGATGAGGCAAGACAAAATGGTGCTAATATTCTAGTCCATTGCCACGCAGGCGTGTCACGGTCTGCCACTATCACCATCGCCTACCTTCTCAAACATTCAAAACTTTCAATGATGGACATTTATCGTTACGTGAAGGGCAAAAGGTGCATCATTTCACCCAACTTCAATTTTATGGGTCAGTTGATGGAATACGAACAAGCTCTGAACAACGGGCTGTGCGAACGCTCTGTGATACCAAATATCGTTCCGGACGAAAATCACGTGTGACGTATACATCCGGAAAATCTCGTGGTTTTTCCTATAAAACAAAGACAATCGAAAAGGAAGATCTGTCAGTATGGGGAAATGATATGTTGACCAAGTACTTTCATTTGTGCAATAAGTATAAGGGCCAAACTAATGAACAATACTCGAAAATAAAAATCATTCCATCATAAGTGCGAATGCTTAAAAAATCATCAAAAACGTACGAAGAAATCCAAAAGTTTGAGAAAAGACTCAAAAAATTGTGTGAGAAGAAGAAAGATTAAGAGAAAATGAAATGTTTGTCTAGTGTTTCTCGCGTTGTCTCTAGTCATTTATTGTATTTCACTTAAAACTGTTATTTTGTATGTATTTAGTCACTAAGGTTTTGTCTTTGACTTGATCTATACACTGTAGCTCTTAGAGCGCTGTTTATGATTCATTCACAGCGAATCTCTAGAATGCAAAGCAAGGGGTTAATCTCTTACCATTTACCTGAGCTACTCGGTTCAAGCCATCTGTTATTTAAATATACAATTAATGAATGCTAAAAAAGAACAAAAAGCTCATTAGTAGGGAAAAGCTACCGCAAAAATTATTTTTTGCTTCAGGGATTTTAATCTCCAAAACTTTATGCGATTTGACAAACAGTAGAATTAGAAAAAGGAACGACAATTTTTTCTATCTAGAAAATGCAAAACTGGTTTATTATTCTCTGATTAATTTATGAAATAAAAATTAAATCATTTCTAGTTCTTTAAAACTAATGAAGATTTAAGACTATGTTTAACACGGCTACCTCAGTGCGTACCGATTAAAACTATTATATAGTGTGGTATGCATCTCCATATACCCTCACCATATATGCCTTGATTTATCATCCTATGCACCCACAAATCGACAAACAACTTACAAATTCAATGTTGTTGCCATTTATTTGTAAATATTTTTAAATTATTTAATCATTCCGGACGAACAGACATATATACAGATCAAGAGTTCTTATCACTTATGACCCCCAAAAGTATAAATATATATATACGTACCAATCTGTTTAGTTTTTTGTATTAATTAAGATGTTAATTTTTCATCACGAAAATAATGACGTGAAAGATTTACATTCCATTCCGAAATGCCTCTGTCTAGCTGTTGTGAAAAGAAACACGGTTGTTAAAATTTTTGTTTCATTTAAAAGTGCCTTTACATGACAAATTTTATTTATCAAACATCATGTATAAAGTTTTTTAAGTCGCTGAAAATATGTTGAAAATAATTTTATTTTGATGTCTTATGTTTATAATTGAGGGAAATGTTTGACTGTATATGTGTTGTGGAATAGTGAAGTGGGCCAAGACTCCATTCGATTCACGTGACCCAAGGTCATAGACCAAACTGATATGTGGAAAAACGAATAAAAAAATAAAAACAAACAAAAATGTCTTGATTATTTTTAAGTGTACATGTATTTTTAAAAACAGGAAGTGACGTTGCTGTCAATGTATTCTGTTTCTCGCTGTTGCTGAGTATATGCTCACTCGATTCTTCCGGGCATGTGACGTAGAATCTCACATTAGTCTTAAATGATTTATAACTTTTCTTCGAAAAGGATACTTCATATCAGGATAATCATTTCAATGAATTGATAGAATCAGCAGCTGAACACGTCTCAAATTGATTACGTCATATGGGCTGATCAAACGAACACAGTTATCACGTGATGCGAAACAGACACGAATGGGAAGTCCTTCAGAACACAAAGATCCTAGGGGGCGAACACCTCAAAACGACATTAATATTTCATGAAAATTTCAAGAGTCATTACCCTATCATATATACAATGTACATGATTGTTCAAATGATGAAAACAATGTTATGGTAACTTTATACACGTGTAAAGCATTGATACACGTACACTGTAGTGTCCATGAATACTATAGTACATAAAAATTGGACATAGTTGAAAATGCAAGAGTCACCGGAAAATGAATTCCCATAGGCTCTTTAGTTTGTCATGGCTTTACCCACATTTTTAAGTCTTGATCTTTTTACCACAATGACTCGATTCCGTCTTGCGGTTAACAGCAGGGGTACAATTTCTTATGCTTGAATGTCAGGGTCTATTATGACATCATAACCACTAAATCGATTAGCGGTCGACCTTTAAAATCCGGATTGTTTCAAAACTATTATTTTGAAATAGGATCAAAATACCAGTGCAGCGTTTGCAGATTATATCGTTTTCCTTTAACAAAGGCGGATTTAAGAATTTCAACCTCCGGGACAGATTTAAGGTTAAGCATGTACATATATTATGTACATTAGCAAGTTTCTAAGTTTGTAACATCCTTGGCATTTCTGGATGAGAAAGGTGAAGAGATTAAGAACAATGAACTGTTCCAAATCTTTCTTCATCAAAAAACAGTGCTGTAAAATCAAGGCTAAGTCGAAGTGAATGTTTCGTTTATAACTAACAGAAAATAATTTCATTACAACTTGATAATGGTATTAGCAAAGGCTGATTCATCCGCATGCGGGGCACGATTTAGATGACAGAATCCCCAAACAATGGCTTGAGGAGGGACCACTGACCACTCATACCATACTGGAACCAGTTAGCTCATAGGTCCATACTCCTGTTTCTAAAAATAAAAACATTGATACAGTTGCTGTAATCTTTATGAAATCATTTCATGACGAAAGTTTCATTTCTTTTTAAACAGGAAATGAGGGAATTAGGAGATTACACTCAAGAAGACAATTTATGGTTATTTTTCTTTCATCCCCCATACCACTTAGTTTTAGTTCCTCATTTCAATAATTTGAAGATGATAATTTTATACGTCATTAGGTTTTACAGTAGTTTCTCGGTTTAATATGAAAATGAGACCAGTTTAAGTGTTCCTTAAAATTGAAAATTAAAATTCTTTACATAATGGCCCCTCAAAATCATTTCAAAAAGCTTTCAGTAGACTCATCCGCTTTACAAACTGTTGATCAATACGTCACAATACCTAGATCATCGATATATCTTGTGTTCATAGAAATATTACGAGTACACGAAACATTGAAAGTTTTTTAAACACGCTTCGCTACAAACTAAACAAATACATGTTTGGGTATTGGAAATTATTCATAGAGGCGATTATTAAGCAATATTCCCCATATTACTCAGATCCGATCATTAGTTCATGATCACGATAAATTGTTCCAGACATGGCGTCGTAAAATGAGGGTCGTCATGGAAACGGGTGTGATATTGCCCGTGTTTGTCAACAACATGTGACTAAGTTTTACATGAATTTCTTCTAATCACTCCCATATGCATGTCTTTTTTATTTAAATGTGAATGTATTAAGAGAGAACGTGTTAAGTTGATTTGTACTATAAATCCATTATCATAATTCACTTTTATTGAAAAAATCTAAGAATTTGTTGTTTGAAAAATTACAAGTAAAAATTCTATAATATTTGCTTGTAGAATTATTAATTAAAAAAGTAATTTCAAATATATTAAATTGTATCGTAGACCTAAAGTATTAGTTTTTTCCCCAAATAAAAGAAGCAGAAAGATACCGTAACATGCTTTATCAAAATGTGAATTAAAAAAAATCTGGTTATCTGCGCGTGATTTTTATCCATGGGTGGACCAATGAAAAATCACGAAGATTATAGATTTATGACAGTCGGAGATTTGGGGTCATTAGAACAACTGATAAATAAGATTTTATCACTGTCTTCCGTTGTTTAAATGTATACAATATACCAGTGATTCTGGTGATTTAGTAGGGCGAACCGTCGATGTTCGTATCGCTTTTTATCTCAATGATAGATACAACGGAATATTAAATTATAAGGCGCATAAATCATTTCATAAAAATCGTTTTTGATTTTAATCATTTTTTGTGAATATAGAAATGTTTGAAAATAATGTTTAATATTTTATAAGAATATGGATTATGGACTTTTGGATTGAAATTCTCATGCATCGGGGAAATGCCCCTCCCCCAACTCCCCTACCCACCGCACTGAAATCTATGGCCTTTTTATCACCAAAAGCATAATAGCCAAAAATGCTTCACATTTCAATGTTTCAAAGGAAACCCCATTGTTTAGTTTAATTTAGCCTCTCCCAATTATTTAGCAACATTTGTGGTCGTTTCATATAATCAGTGTGGCAGATTTCAAACACTATTTTAGGGCTTGACGAAATTTACAATTTCAGGAAATTGCAATTGTATATAAGAAAATGACGTTCATTTACTAAATCTACATGAATTTTAATCAATATGATTTTCAAAATATGAATTGTTGGGGGTACTAAGAATGTATGAAATCAAATATATGCTTTAAAGGATGAAAAACATGATTTCATGCTTATTTTTATACAAAAATATCCAATTTATACTAACGCGCAGTATATACATGTACTCTGAGTAATAAATTTTGACTTTACGTTTATCGTAAGTTACACAAATATGTAAAAGACAAAATTATAAATATTGCTTATATTTCAGTGCTTTAATTCAATAGTAAAATATTTTGATACAGAATTTAAGACAACACAATTCAAGTTGAATTTTAACAACTATATTTTAATTAATCAACTTGATTTTATGCTTTAGTATCCCCTTTGCCCTTTCTCTTTACATTGGATTTTTTTGGTCGTTTCCTTAATTGTATTTTGCTATGATCAGGTTTCTGAGAAGTTTCAAAAACCTCCTTTTTACGGAATAAATAAAACTTTCAGGTTCATCTTAATTTTAAATAGTGATCCACAACACGTACTGATGTTCGTGAAAAAAGTTTGAGGGGGTTTAAATTCCCACATTTACCAAAAATAGGGGTACAAAATATATACTAATTTCTCTATATACTGTACCATTCCAATGTCTTGCGAGCATTTTTAAATGCACGTATGCCTGAAATGAAACGAACATATTGTACCTTATGAAAGATTAATGTACTCTGCATCTTCATGTAATCTTTTTTTTGTCCCTTGCAAAAACACGTTATCCTTCATCCCTCCCCGTTACCAAGGAAACAGGAAATGTTTTCTTTTTACGTGATATTAGTCATTCAGCTTCATTGACACATCTGTTTCTATCTCTATAGTCTCAAACGCTTTAGTGACTCATTCTAATATTTGCCTTTCTTTTAAACACTTGGAAAACCAATGAACGCACACGATTTCTTTTGATTTCCTTTATTATATTTCTATCATATTAAGAAACTTGAGACTCTTCGTGTGAAAACTTTATATAACTGAGACTCTTCATATGAAAGTTTATTTAATAACTGAAATACATCATACTAAGAACAAAATTTCAAGTATTTTCTTAATTTTAACAATATTACGCCTTAAATGTAGATAAAAAGCTAAACAAAATTAATATTGCGCACATTTAAAGTAAAATGGCCAAGTTTATTTTATTACATAATTTCTACACAATTTGTGATTATCTTCGAAGTGGTCTTGACACACCTAAACTGCTAAGTGACGCAAAGTCACATTGTTTTCATCAACTTAACCGAAGCGCAGTTAACACTTAGTCCCAGTCTGATAAGGTAAACAAATTAATTCAGATAAATAAATGAATAAATATTTGATGATTCACTGAAGTATGAAATTCAGTTCGATAAGAACAAATTAGTTACATATTTCAATGGATTTTCTTCATAAATGGACCACCTAGTACGTACATGAATTGGTTTGATTTAAACACATTTTATTGTTGTTTATTATTACATGCAAAGGGATGGGTACAAATTCTAAAATCTTTTAAAATCCGCCCCCCCTTTTTTTTTTCTCGACGGAAGGAGAAGGGGGACTGGTTATAATCAGACTATTATTTCATCCTCTCCCAAAGATAAAATTTTGGATACATAATATACCCGAAATATGATTTAAATATATGCTGATTAAGGCCAAAATTAAAAGAACTACCTGATAATCAATGCTTAAGGTTTTAGTGCCAATAGCTATTAGAACTCGTATTAATATTCATTTGATGTCGAATTTGTTAAGGCACTGACATGTCCTTGGTAAAGGAAGTCAGATTTTTATACGTAGTTTATTTGTCTATACTTGTTGAATTTAGCAATAATTTCCAAATTTCCTAAAATTTTGATTGCAAAATAAGTGTTTGGTGCAATGAACTTGTGAAGAAACATAAGAATTCATAAGATGTTTAAATCTAACACCTTTTGTCACGTGACTTAATTGATTGAAATCTGTCCCGCATTTTCAGTGATGACGAATGTAATTGTCACCCGGTCGTTCAACTTTATTTGTTCATTATTTTTATTATACATTTTTTTAAATCAAGCTAATTAGTTAATGAATACATCAAGACTTGCTGTAAAAAAGGTAATGTTAATCAAAGAATTGTAAAATAAAAAACAAAAAAATAATTTGAAAAAGTTCTACTTCATGAAC